ACATAACTCATCATTTCATTTAGTCACCGGGCGGCAGATTTAAGAAGTGACATTTTTTTATAGAATAAGGGTGGTAAACAAGCACACGGTCTACCTGATGGAAAGTGGATGCTGTGGCCTATAGACATCTACATCTATTCTCGATTAAGTATCAAAATGCAAATGCGTTATCAGCCCTAAGTACTAAGATAGAACACCTCGTTTCCAGTGAACGGATCTTCGGATGTCTACCCTCACCATAAGAAACGTTAAACAGATATTTTACTCTGGTATTTCGTGAAATCGTTGTCGTTTCCCGATGAAGCGGACAAATTCGTGCTAAAATTGTAATGTAGCTGCAGCATGGCTCTACGATGGAGCAAATAATGATTATAATAAAATAATAATAATAATCTTTTGTCGGGCGTGAATAAGACACACGCATATAACGGTTGAGTCATGCCTGTCCTCATATATATCTTCGGCATACTCAGGTGGACTCAGAATGAACTGAACTCTCTGGATAGAAAAGCCCGCACTGTTATGACTTCCCACGGGATGCATCACCAAACGTCGTCTGTAATGAGGCTATACTTGCCACGGAAACATGGTGGGCGCGGCTTTTTGAGCGCTCTCACCATGCACAATCACGAAGTGTGCAGCCTCCGTAATTACTTGCTGGCGAGATTGGATACCGTGCTTTGTGGCATTCCTTGGGGAAGGTCTATGTTCAGCAGTGGACTTGTGAAGGGCTGTAATGATGATGATGATGATGAGATTGGATAATCCATTCTACAGAGACTTCATTTCGTGTGATAAAGGGCTTACTCCTCTATGCTTAGCCAACGATCAATGGCAAGACCCAGCAGTACAGTGCAATTCCAACATGGAGACCGTATGGAAGGAGAAGAAGCTCCACAGGAGGTTCTAAAAGGCTCTAGCCTTTCATTGATACAGCTGCCTCCCTCCACTGCCTACGTTTTGGTGACCTCTTTCAGAAAACCGAGGGTTTTGTCTGTGCAATACAGTATCAGGTTATTAAGACCAACAACTATCGGAGATACATCCTAAGGGGTGGCACCGTCGACATTTGTCGAGCTTGTCACCATCCCGGTGAGTCATTTAGGCATGGCATCTCCGGTTGTTTGGCGCTTTCTAACTCTGAGTACTTGCAAATAATAGTTGAAATACGGTCTCGTGGATCGGAAACTGCCTTATTATAAGTACATGCCGGAAGCCGTGCTCGAAAATGACCGCGCCAGGTTCTACTGGGACCGGCCCATCATCACAGACAGGACCATTCTTGCGAATAAGCCTGATATTATGCTGATGGATTAGGTACAGTCAAGGATCTTTCTGGTCGACATTACTATTCCTTATGACGAGAATCTCGTGAAAGCCGAAACAGATAAGCTCACAAAATATCTGGACCTGGCTCACGAGGTTACCGACATGTGGGATGGTCTGCCGACTTAAATTATTCCTGTGGTCGTTTCTGCGAACGGGTTAATCCCAGTCAGCCTCTCGTGTCATCTGAGGCGACTGGAACTCGACGGACCACACCAGGCTTAAATGCAGAAGGCGGTGCTCCTCGATACCGCCCGCATCATCCACCGGTTTCTTTCCCTTTCCCCCTAATCCACGACCGTTTGGTCTCCCCTGTCGAGGGTTTCCATCTGGTTGGGTTTTTTTTATTTATGTAATTTTTTATGTATTTATTTTATTTTACTGATATTTATGTATATTTATATCTTTCGTTTACAATTATGTATTTAAATAGCCCAACTAGATGAGAAAACTTTATAGATAACTCAGATAAATAATACCTGCATAATAGCTTAAACTTTGATTAAAACTTTTGATAAAAATATAACTAGCAATATTGCACAGAAATATACAAAAAATTAAGCAATACCGCATGACTTACCAGTCCGTCACTTCATCTAGTGTAGGACTATACTATACTCCTTTAGCTGGTACGAAGCTGCCATTCTAGAACCTTTATTAAATTACATTATTTTAAGGTAATTCTTTAACCGTCCCCACAACAAAACAATTAATTTGGAATTATCACCACAAACAAGCCACTAGCTCAGTAAGTTATTAAACTCGCGGCTTGTTAGGGGCGAATATACCAATCTGGCGCTTCAGCACAATTAAATTTTGCGCGGTTAATGTTGAAATGAGCGCGAAAATAGATTACGAGTCTGTGACAGCGGACGCCATGTTTTATGTTCCGCTATTCAGCGCCATCATTTACATTGCACGTCAACAAACCACGGATAGTGACGCCATAAAAATCGGTTAAGTCGTTTAAAAGGAGGAGAATATCAAACACAAACTCGCAGGAATTTTATATAAGATATACGAACTGGCCAGGTAGACGTTGTTCTGCCATTTCCGACAACTATTCCTCCTATAACAAATTCTTTAATTTGCAATAAAAAATGTCGAGGGTCACTTATCGGGATAAAACTATCCAATCTCTCGAGTTGGAGCAAGCAATACACATTTAAAAAACATTATAATAGGTTGAGCGTTTTCGGAGATTAGCCTGAACGAACATCGTTACACGGGACTTTTATATATTAAGATAGTTTGTATATTAAGATAAAGTTTTATATATTACAGATGGTGGATAGCGAACGGCCACCATATATGGTGGTTAGCTGCGAAAATACTGAATTAGCAGTCCACGACCAAGCAGCGACAGGGGCTACCAGGGTGTAGTGGTGTGTCTGGTGGGATAAACTTACTTAAAAAATGCTACATAGACCCAATAACAACCCTTGTGTCCTGGCGAGTAAGCGCCTCCACTAAATAAGCGCACCCCACCCTGGAACCGGGCAGCAGCGGAAAAAGTACTGGCAGAAGCTCAAGGTGAATGTCGTCAGCAGGGTTTCTGACCAGAAAAGCAAGGGCGCACATGCGGCCATATAATTGCGATACGGAAGGGAAGGGAAAACTACCGTATTATTTCTCACGAGAATACTGTCATGGAAAGTACAGTAAAAGGAATGGCCTTGAGTTCCCGGCAGGTCTAAAATGGCCCGAGGGTGCTAAATGCTAATCATCTCTGGGTGTGCTTTTAAAATAGGAACATGAAACGTTAGAAGTATATATGAAGATGGGAATCCGTACAATACAATACAAGAAATGGAATGAATGTCACTGGATATACGAGTAATAGATGAATGGAGTTGGTTTTATTATTAAAAAGAGATGGCAAAACACGTTATTAATTTTACTCCTATAACTGATAGGGTGGCTCTACTAAATTTAAATGGCCATCCATTTAATTTAAACATTATCCAATTCTATGCGCCCACAGCTGAAAGCTCTGATGATGCTATAGATTCGTTCTACAGAATATTATACAAAAATCACAGAATGTTTGAAGCTTAATAAAAATTGTGAAATTAATATAATTATGGTAGACATTAATGCAAAGGTTGTAAAGAGATCTAAAAACGATGTTGTGGGGTATTTTGGTCTGAAAAATAGTAATGAGCCGGGCGATCGCCCGGTTGACTTCTGTCTAGTTAAGTGACAAAACTGCTACGTCAGTGCAGTCAGTCAGCGCCTTGCCAAGAGGTGTGTGTGCCGTGCCTCGGCAGAATTGAGGGTGCAAAGGTCCGTCTGTGCTTATGGCCGCACCATGAAACGGTGCCGGGCCTGGGCGTCTCCCGTTAATTGACGCCCATATAATGGATGATGGAAAATAAAAGAGTGCGCAAAGGGCCGCTGCCTGGAGGTCGCCAGGGCGCGTCTGGAGCTGGCGCTGGACGCGACAGCATGCGGGTCGCCAGCCAAGCGCGGGGGGCTGCAAGACCACCTAGTAGCCGCCCGCATCCATCATCCCCACCAGAGGGCTTGGTGTCAGCTGGGTCTTCTCGGACTCAGCAAGTGGCACCCGCTGCTGGTGGAACACGTCGCATGCGTTGGACAAAAATCATGAACGCAAACGCATTGCGAGCGTATTTTAGGGCAAAAGGGGAAGAAACTGGAATGTTGGCGTATCGGGCTCGGATGCATCGCTTTTTCGCGGAGCTGGAGCCATCTGTTCATGTATCATAAAAAACCTGGCAGACCGAGTTCGATACATCCTGCGCTCCAACATATTTGGTGACGCCGAACTCGAACGACTACGACGTGAGGCCGTTCCCTCATCGAATGAAAATGCTGCAGCTGGTAATGCGACGCCACAAATTGCAGAACAATCTGCACACGTCGATGCCGCCGCGGATTTCCCAGTTGTAGTTGATTCAGACGATGATGGAATGGTCACCCAAGAACTAGAGCAGATGAGGAGTAAATTGGAGGAGGCGATTGTGGAAACGCGCAGTACGCCTCTCGAAAATCGACCGCGACTACCGCGCATAACCCTAAGCAAGCGGAATCGGGCTGTCGTGAGGGCTCTTAACCCAATGCTGGTGACCTATTTGGAAGCCAGCCGGGACCTTTGCGAGACGGACTCAATTCTTTTTGGCACCGCACTGGCAGTTTGCCGTATTATTGGCGCCAAACTTCCCACGGCTGGACGCGCTACTAGACAAAGTAGCGCCATCCCAGCCTGGAGAAGAAGGATTGAGGACCGTATCGCAAAGGCAAGGGTCCTCATCGGCAGACTGATAAGCTTCAGGTCGGGCAATAATAGGCCGAGAATTGTGCGCACCGTCAGGATGGCATTTGCTGGGACAAATATCAGTTTGTCCCAGCCGGATATAACGCAAAAACTGACGGAGCGCATAGACGACCTGAAGCAGAGAATCGCTGCTTGGGGGAAGCGGATTCGGCGATATACCGAGAGGTCGACACGGTTCAACCAGAATCGTCTCTTCCAGAGTGATCAGAAGAGGCTCTATGAATCATTGGAGCGACCGATGGTACGTGGAACGGGCCCAGCACCGAAACAGGCCGACACTATCGCATTCTGGCGCGGCCTGTGGTCAGAGCCCGTAAACCACAGCGAGGGCCCTTGGACGGAAGTTGTGGCGAGTCAGTGTGCGAATATTACGCCCATGGACCCCGTCATCATAACGCCGGATGACGTAGCTGAGGCGGTCCGTAGGGCCCCGAACTGGAAAAGTCCGGGACTCGACGGACTGCATCACTACTGGCTGAAGGGGTTCGTGGTGTGTCACGCTGTGCTCACCCGACAGTTTCAAGAGGCTCTCGACCAAAAGTCGCTCCCGAGCCTCTTCACTACTGGGATCACTCATTTGGTTCCTAAAGACCGGGATTCCACAGACCCGAGCAAGTACCGCCCCATAACGTGTCTACCTACCATATACAAGACACTAACATCCATTTTGAGCGCGAGAATCACTCGTCACCTGAACTCAAATCAGGTGATGTCGCGCGCTCAAAATGGATGTCGGGGCGGTGGTCGTGGAACCAAGGAACCACTCCTCATTGACGCGGTCATTGGCAAGGTGGTTAAACGCAACCGTCGGAACCTCTCCGCCGCCTGGATAGACTACAAAAAGGCATTCGACTCGGTGCCTCATACATGGCTTAAGAGGGTCCTCGAGCTGTACAAGGTTGACTGTACGGTTCGAGACTTCCTCGGGCAGTGTATGGGGCAGTGGAGTACGATCCTTTGTCATCTAGGCCAGCAGATGACGGCTGCGGAGAACCACATAAGGATAAGAAGGGGTATCTTCCAGGGCGATTGATTGAGTCCAATCTGGTTTTGCCTCTCTCTGAACCCTCTCAGTACCTTACTGGAGGGTTCCGGGAGGGGATTTCAGCTTCGGAAAGGAGGTACAAAAGTGACCCACCTTTTCTATATGGATGATCTCAAGTTATTCGCCTCCAGTCGCTCCCATCTTGTGGAATTGCTAAACATCACTTGTGATTTTAGCAATTCTATTGGAATGGAGCTGGGGACGGATAAGTGTGCGATCCTCCATGTCGAAAGGGGAAGGGTTGCTAACTCTGAGGGCATGGACTTATCTATGCCCATCAGCATAAGGACCCTTTCCGAGGCTGAAACATACCGATACCTGGGTATGTCACAGAACATCGGTGTCGATGAGGCGGGTATGAGGCAGTCAGTTTGCGATGTGTTTTATGCACGCTTGACAAAAATGCTTAACAGTCTTTTGTCGGGCGTTAATAAGACACACGCTTATAACGGCTGGATCATGCCTGTTCTCATGTATACCTTTGGCATACTCAGGTGGACTCAGACCGAACTGACCGCTCTGGACAGAAAAGTCCGCACTATAATGACGTCCCACAGAGTGCATCACCGAGATCGTCGGTAATGAGGCTGTACTTGCCGCGGAAGCATGGTGGGCGCGGCTTTTTAAGCGCGCTTACCCTGCATAATCGCGAAGTGTGCAGCCTTCGTAATTATTTTCTGTCGAGAGCGGATGATCCATTCTATAGGGACGTTATTTTTTGTGATAAAGGACTTACCCCTCTATCCTTAGCCAACGAGCAATGGCAAGACCCGGCAGTACAGAGCATTTCCGACCGGGAGACCGTATGGAAGGAGAAGGAGCTCCACGGGAGGTTCTACAAGGCTCTACATGAGCCTTTCGTAGATACAGTTGCCTCCCTCCACTGGCTACGTTTTGGTGACCTCTTCGGGGAAACCGAGGGTTTTGTCTGTGCAATACAGGATCAGGTTATTAAGACCAACAACTATCGGAGATACATCCTAAGGGATGGCACCGTCGACATTTGTCGAGCTTGTCGCCATCCTGGTGAATCACTTAGGCATGTCATCTCCGGTTGTTCGGCGCTTTCTAACTCTGAGTACTTGCATAGGCACAACCTAGTAGCCAGGATTCTACACCAGGAGCTCGCTCTGAAATACGGTGTTGTGGATCGGAAACTGCCTTATTATAAGTACATGCCGGAAGCCGTGCTCGAAAATGACCGCGCCAGGCTCTACTGGGACCGGGCCATCATCACAGACAGGACCATTCTTGCGAATAAGCCTGATATTGTGCTGATGGACCGGGCACAGTCAAGGATATTTTTGGTCGACATTACCATTCCGTATGACGAGAACCTCGTGAAAGCCGAAACAGATAAGCGAACAAAATATCTGGACCTGGCTCACGAGGTGACCGACATGTGGGGTGGACTGCCGGCCGAAATTATACCTGTAGTCGTCGTTTTTGCGAACGGGTTAATCCCAGTCAGCCTCTCGGGTCATCTGAGGCGACTGGGACTCCGTGACGGACCGCTCCAAGCTCAAATGCAGAAGGCGGTGCTCCTCGATACCGCCCGCATCGTCCGCCGGTTTCTTTCCCTTTCCCCCTAACCCTCGGCCGTTTGGTCTCCCTGCCGAGGGCTTCCATCTGGTTGGGTTTTTATTTATTTATGTATTTTTTATGCATTTATTTTATTTTGTTGATATTTATGTATGTTTATCATTTTCATTTACAATTATATATTTATACAGCCCAACCAGATGAGTAAACTATATAGATGCCCCATAATAATAATAAATATTTATTTCATTTCGAATTACACATGTTGACATACAGGAATCAGAATGATTACAATTAATAAAGTAACAATAAATCTAACAAAAATAACATGCTATGATAAAATTAAAACTATGTGTAGCTAAATAATGTAGAATCTACAAACGAAGATAGAAAATTCATATTTATAATATTAGCTACCTGCCTGAACTAGGTTGAGTACCTGTGTTTCAGACATCACTTATACAATCGGTTTAATAATGTAGGACACTAGATATTTAAATAATTAAACTAAATTGTATAATAAATAAAATAACTAAATAACAATTATTTATTGCCTACAATTAATACAAACTATTTTAGTATATCTAACAACTTCTCTGTGTCTTCGTAATTTAATTTATTTAGAAATTCCCTTACACTTATATTACAGTCCTTATAACTTAGACTATATACCTTTAGTGACTTGTTGAGCTTGTTATATAGAAAGGGTCCTAAAAATATGTAAAATTTGTTCACAAATGCGTGTTTGGTTTGAGGGTTTACACAAACTAAGTCCATTCTTCTCCTGTCTATGGATTTTAAGTTAAATGGAAGTTCGGTATGTTGTTCTAATATGATTTTCAGGATAAACAACTGACGGACAGTTAGTACACTACATGCCAAGTACAGTTGATGTGTAGGAAACATGAATGGACGGAAAGTGGCTACCCTTAGAACTGCTCTCTGAGCACGTTCTAGTGGGAGCTATATTGTTTTAGAAGCACCACCCCAGGAAGTAATGCCATAAGTGAGTATGGATTGACACAAAGCTAAATAGACCTGTCTTATCAATTTGAAGTCAGCGATGTTACGAAGATATTTAAAAATGTATATTAATTTACGAACTCTAGCACAAAGTAAATCGATATGCTTGCGGAAATTTAAATTTGTGTCAAACGTGATACCTAGATATTTTATATTGTCTGTTTTTGTTAAAGCGGGACATGCACATGCAATGTCGTCATAAGAGTTACAATGATGAGCGTAAATATTAAGGTCAGCAGGTATGTTATTATTTCTCATTAAAAATAACATATATTGTGTTTTATCTGCGTTTAAACTTAGGAGATTATTTATAAGCCAATTAGATACTATATTAAAGCCTTGCTGAGCGTATTTATAAACCTCTTCTCGTGATTTAGCTGAGAATAACAGGGCTGTGTCATCCGCATAAGACATTATGACACCATTTTGAAGGTGAAGATTGCATAAGTCATTTATATAAATTAGGAACAATGTAGGCCCCAGGATACTGCCCTGTGGGATTCCAAAAGAACTGTTTTGTAATTCAGTACTTGTATACTCACCGATTTTTACACATTGAAAGCGATCACTTAGATAATCGGAAAAAATTTGTAGTTGAGTTCCCCTTATGCCAAGTGTTTCAAGCTTTTGCAATAGTAAAGGGCAAGAGATAGTATCAAATGCTTTGGCAAGGTCTAGAAAGATCCCAATTGAGTATAAACCATTGTCAAGATTACCTGTGACATACTCTGTCAATTGGTGCAAGGCATCATTACAAGATCTCTTAGGCCTAAACCCAAATTGTCTGTCTGACAGCAAGTTATTAGTTTCCAGATATTTTATCAACCTGGTATTTATGATCTTTTCTAAAATTTTAGATAAACCAGATAGAACTGAAATCGGCCTATAGTTATTAACTAAGTTTTTATCACCAGCTTTGTGAATAGGAGAAACCACTGCTTTTTTAAGCAGTTTCGGGAAAATACCATTTGTTAGGCATAATTGAAAGATATGTGTTAACGGGGCGGCCAGTAAATGTTTAAATCTTTTCAGTATGCGATTAGGTATATTGTCCCATCCAACTGCACAATCTTCTTTTAAGCCAGATATTATACTTAAAATCTCATCAATATCGGTATTTAAAAATACAAAAGAATTTAACTTAGAAAAGGATGTGGGCATAAAAATTGGATTACGAGTGTTGCTTAATTTTAAAGTTGTCTCTGCTATTTTTTTGCCAATATTAATAAAATAATTATTCACTTTATTGGTTGCTTCATTTGGGCTTTTGTCTAATAACAGTGGATCAAGTGGGGGTCCAAGATTTTTTGAACTGAAGGTATTATTTTTAATGAACTTCCATACAAGTTTACTGTTTTTACCGGCCTTTTGTAAAACATTTTTGTCATATTGTATTTTGAGGTTTTTTAATAGTTTATTGCAAAAATTCCTATATCTTTTATAAGTAGCAGAAAGTATTAAATTATCAGGAGAAAGTTTAGATTTTAAATGAAGTTTGTCTCTATTTCTTATACAGCGGACGAGACCAGGTGTTATCCAAGGTTTAATATTATAATACTTACATGATAGTTTTATTGTTGATGTATTATTCATTATTGCATATTGTAAAGAATTTATAAAGTAACTCAAGGACGTATTTGCATTGTCAGAGCAGTAAACAACGTCAAAATTAATGCTACGAATGTGCTTTTCAAGGTTCGTCATATGGACTTTAGTGTCGTTGCGTATGCAGTTTTTTCTAGGTAAGGCTAATTGTAATGTTTGTTAAATAAAGTCACTCAATGCATCACTAATATCATATATTTTCTTAATTGTACAAGATATCACTAAATCTAAACAAGGTTATAGATATCCACAATAACATCAATGTACATTAGACACACAGAATAACAAAATAAGTATAACAATTCCTAATAATACTCACAATTTATCTTCCGTGTACGTTCTCTCTACTCAACAGTTCTTCCAAAAGACTCCCCACAAGCCGCCGACATCTGTATTTTATAGGCTTGTAATTTACCATTGTTAAACTACAGATGGCGCCGCTTGTTTGGTTTCCGTTACAAGTTTCCAATAAAATAGGATATTATTAAGTGTGTTTTTACATTACAAAACATGATTTATATTTATTTTAATTATCTTAACAATGTTACATCACAGTTATAAATATGAGCGAAAATAAATAGCTCAACTAAATCTAAAATATTAATGTACCCGCTATTATAAGAAACTACTTATTGTAAGAAAATAATTAATTACCCACAATACTAGTTATAACAATATATATTATTAAAATATGCTAACAGCTTCGGCCATCTGACAGATTGTGTGTCCTCGCACAATTAGACAACAATTTTTGAACACTCCTATAAGTATTCTACAGGCTCTTTTCGCCCTGATTACAAAATTATGAACACCATTAG